ACCTTGCAGCCCTTGTGTCCACGTGACTCCAGATAACACAAGGATGGGCTGGTAAGGCTGGCCTTGGAACTACTCTGCCCTGTGGCAGGTGGCCACTTCTGTACCATGAGGAAGATACATTTCTGGCTAAGCACAGCACCCCCAGGATGAGACAGAGATGGACAATGTGCCAGTCCTGAGCCTCCGCTCAGGGCCACTGACTCACCCATCTCCGAGGCCCATCCAGCTCCCGGCGCAGCCTGTCTACCAGTGCAGCGGCCTCCTCGGGGCTGCCTGGGCACTGTCTCTGCACACGAGCCTGGATCTCAGAGGGCAGTGCACCCAGGAACTGCTCCAGCACCAGCAGCTCCAGCATTTGCTCCTTGGAGTGCACTTCTGGCTGAAGCCACTGGCGACACAGCTCTCGGAGCTGGGCTAAGGCCTCTTGGGGTTCTATTGCTTCCTCATAGTGAAAGCACCGGAAGCGTAGGCGCGCAGCCTCGGGGCCCAGGTCCCATGGGGCAGCTTCACCCTCCTCCTCAGAGTCCTCCAGCTTCACCATGACAGGCCCCTCATCTTCTGGGGGTGTGGTGCCTGGGGATCCCAGCGCAGCAGGCCTCATTGGGAGTACCAGGTCAGGTTTCTGAGGCCACCGTCTGCCCCTACGAAAGGAATGGGATGAGGCTGCTGCAATAAGAGTAGACAGTGACAGTAAATGCTTACTGAGTATCTACTATACACTGTGTTGGTCAAGCCTCAGACCTACCCTATGTGGAAAGCAGATGAGGAAAGTGAGGCTCACAGAGTCAGGTCATACCCCTGGGATTTATGAGGTTGGAAGCCCTCACTGAACCACCCATCTACACGTGCAACCTCATCCCTGCCCTGTAGCAGTCCCTTTACCAAATGGATGGCATTTTTACCATCTAAGCCCTGTGCATTAGCTCCACTGCCAGCCCCCTGCCCAATGCCAGTTCCTCACTTCATCATCCACATTCCTACCAAACTACTCTTAGATTTGGCCCCTCACTGGGGCCCCACCATCACTCCTTCCGTCCTGGTTCCAGAGGCCTTCTCTCTAGGTGGGCCTGTATGGAGTCTCTGGTAGCCCTCTTGCTCCCAACACAGGCGGTTTCTTTTTTTTTTTTGAGACAGACTCTCACTCTGTCACTGGGGCTAGAGTGCAGTGGCATCATCATAGCTCACTGCAACCCTGAACTCCTGCATTCAAGCAACCAAGAAGCTGGGGCTATAGGCACACACCACCATGGTTGGCTAATTTTTCTATTTTTTGTAGGGACAGGGTCTCCCTCTTGCTCAGGCTGGTCTCAGAACTCCTGACCTCAAATGATCCTCTGCCTTGGTCTCCCACTGCTAAGATTACAAGCACGAGCCACCACACCCAGCATCACAAGTTGTTTCTTAGGCCTAGAAGGTACCTCCTCTCTTCCCTAAATCCTGCCTGTCTTCTACACGTGCAACCTCATCCCTGCCTTGCGGCAATCCCTTTACCAAAGGGATGGCATCTTTACCATCTAAGCCCTGTGCATTAGCTCCACTGCCAGGCCCCTGCCCAATGCCAGTTCCTCACTTCATCATCCACTCTCCTACCAAACTACTCTTAGATTTGGCCTTTCACTGGGGCCCCACCATCATACTCCTTCTGTCCTGGTTCCAGAGGGCAGACTTGCTTCACCCACCTGGTCTCCCATCATAACTGGTGCAAAGCCACTCGCTGGTCCAGCCCTCAGGCAGCAGCTTCTCCCTACTCAGTCCCATTCTCTAATCCCAACTTACCATACCATGCAATGGCCCAATTCCTCAGCTCCGTGATTTAGGTGGGGCTGGGAAGTGACCAGGGAACTTCTGAAGGGGCTGCAAAGACTCCCCCCCCTCCAGACCACTGGTTGAACAGGAGCCTGCAAGAAAGTTCCGAGATCCTGATTCTGTCCATTTTTAGGTCGCTGTGCTTCTGTGAACCTGTTTCCCCATCAGCAAGTGGGGTGACTTAGGCCTAGAAGGTAGGCCTAAGTCCCCATCGCGCTCCTCCTGAAGCTTGGGCTTTGTGAAGGAATTGGCGTTTATTAAGGGGATGGTGCCGCACAGTCATCCCCCCATGGGTGGAACCAATTTCGAAGGCCGCCTGATCCCGTGGGTCAAACCTCCACTCCTCAAGGTCCCATGTCAACCTGAAATCCTGGGTCCCATGTCAACCTGAAACGTGGGTCATCAAGCCGGCGAGTCCCCGCGGAGGTTCCTGAAATACACTTCCCAGAAGTCTAGGCGGCTAACTTCCGCTTTAGGGTGTGCCGCCATGGCAACGGCGGGACCGAGCTCTCAAAGCCTGTTGTCGCAACGAGCGGTGATTGATGGGCCTTGGGCAACAGCGCAGGGCCAGCCTGCAGAGATTGCCAGGGTCCCTGCCCTGCACTCCGGGTCTCCGCAGCCGCCGCCCCATTCCCCACCCGAGCATTCCCAGTCGAGAGGCCTCCCCCGCCCTCACCTCTGCGCTCAGCGTGCCGCTCCGCGCACTTGGGCATGCGCACTCGCCGACTTCTGCCTCCCAGGATGGACTACGTTTCCCAGGACGCCCGCGTACCAGCCCTAGCACCTCCTTACCTTCCCCCACCCCTCGCCTTCGTTTCTACCCCGCCGCTTCCCGTCCCCTGGAGATAGCGGTGGTCGAAAAGATTAGGTCCCACTGCCTGCTGCCTCTTTCCATGCTCCCCGCCTCGAATCCAGTCCTCTGGCCCCCATCGACGTGCGCAAACTCCTCGAAGGCAACGGACCACAGTACCGCCTTCCAGACCGCGCATGCATCCCACCACGTTTTCCTTAAATTCTTCACGGGCCTTCCCTGAATTAGCAGGGTTCTGCGCCAATCGCGGCCCCTACTAGGATGCCGTCAGTTCCCCCCTCCTGTCTCCGTGGCAACCCGTTGCTGGGAGGGGGGGCCCCTTCCCTCTGCTACCTTGCGGACCGCAAAATGGAAAGAGGGTCGAACCAGTGGTTTCTGGGGGATGTAGTCGGCCGGTGACTTCCCTTCGCGCATGCGCAGGGCGATTACGTTGCTGTGGGCGGTGGGCAGCCCTGCCAGTCTCCAGGATAGCCTGGTGACCTGACCCGGTTGTCGCCAGGGCAACCCCGAGACCTGGTGGGTGTTCGAAATGGACAGAGGGAGGAGGACTAAGGGGGGGGGACTAGGGCAGAGAGATGCTCCCCTACATATACAGTGAGGAGACAGATGCAGAAACAGAGACAGGACGCAGGAAGAGAGAGGGAAGGAGGGTCCCACAGTCTGGGAGCGCAGAGTCTTGACGTGAGGAGACAGTAAAAGTAAGTAAACAGAGACAGGGGTCCAAGTCAAAGAGCATTTCAACTGTCATTAAAGAGGGTCAGAATCAGGGCCAGGGAGGTGTGTCAGAACAGTTAGGAACAGGGAGAGAGCTCAGGAAGGGATAAAGATGAAAGGAGAGACAGAGGGAAATTAAGAATGGATCCACAGAGACAGGACATACAGACATCAAGACTTGAGGCACAGACAGGAGTACAGAGGCAAGATGGGAGAAAGGGACAGAAATTAGAGATACAGTAAGATGGATTGACAGTTTTCAAAGACTCAGAGAAAGATGATAGAAAGTAAGTGAGACTGGAAGAATTGGAGGCAGACTTATTAGAAAAAGTTATTCAAAACTTGATAATAGGCCGGGCGCGGTGGCTCACGCCTGTAATCCTAGCACTCTGGGAGGCCGAGGTGGGCCGATTGCTCAAGGTCAGGAGTTCGAAACCAGCCTGAGTAAGAGCGAGACCCCGTCTCTACTATAAATAGAAAGAAATTAATTGGCCAACTAATATATATAGAAAAAATTAGCCGGGCATGGTGGCGCATGCCTGTAGTCCCAGCTACTTGGGAGGCTGAGGCAGCAGGATCGCTTGAACCCAGGAGTTTGAGGTTGCTGTGAGCTAGGCTGACGCCACGGCACTCACTCTAGCCTGGGCAACAAAGTGAGACTCTGTCTCAAAAACAAAACGAAACAAAAAAAACTTGACAATAAGACAGGAAGATGATTGTAAGCCACCTCTCAGTTCTGCTTCGGGTCATCTGACTCCCTATGTGAAGCAACTCTTTTTTTATATTTACTTTTTATTTTTATTTTTTTTTGAGACAAAGTCTCGCTTTGTTGCCTAGGCTAGAGTGAGTGCCATGGCGTCAGCCTAGCTCACAGCAACCTCAATCTCCTGGCCCAAGCAATCCTTCTGCCTCAGCCTCCCAAGTAGCTGGGACTACAGGCATGCGCCACCATGCCCGGCTAATTTATATATATATATATATTAGTTGGCCAATTAATTTCTTTCTATTTATAGTAGAGACGGGGTCTCGCTCTTGCTCAGGCTGGTTTCGAACTCCTGACCTCGAGCAATCCGCCCGCCTCGGCCTCCCAGAGAGCTAGGATTACAGGCGTGAGCCACCACGCCCGGCCCTATATTTACTTTTAATCAAGATCCAGATGCTGTTCAATTAGATGCTACCTTGTAAAGACTGATAGATTGCAAATGTTTTCTGTCCAGTGTGTAGGCCACTAAGCAGTTTTGTAATGACTTTGAGCTTTTATTTCAGTGTTTATTATTTCTTTCCCATTTTCCTGTCACCTTGCTGGTTCCCTGACTAAGGCAGATAAACATTTGGAACGTTCTGAGAGACAGGTTTTTAACTTTTTTAAAAATTGTATTTCAGGCTGGGTGTGGTGGCTCACACCTGTAATCCTAGCACTCTGGGAGGCCGAGGTGGGCGGATTGCTCGAGGTCAGGAGTTCGAAACCAGCCTTAGCAAGAACGAGCCCGTCTCTATTATAAATAGAAAGAAATTAATTGGTCAACTAATATATATAGAAAAAATTAGCCGGGCATGGTGGCGCATGCCTGTAGTCCCAGCTACTCGGGAGGCTGAGGCAGCAGGATCACATGAGCCAGGAGTTTGAGGTTGCTGTGAGCTAGGCTGACGCCACGGCACTCACTCTAGCCTGGGCAACAAAGCGAGACTCTGTCTCAAAAAAAAAAAAAAGAATCGAACCAGTTCTTCCGGCTGGGGGACACACAGGGAAGAGAAGCAGACAGAGCCAGGAATGGAAGGAGGAAGAGAGGATGATTGTAAAAACAAAGAAATTAGCGAGAAAGCCAGCCTTGGGCAGAAATGGCCTCCGGCGTCCCAGCCTAGACTCTGCGCACCGCAGCCTCCTTGTGGAACTACGTTTCCCAGCAGCCTCCAGGGCCCGAGGCGCAGGGCGCTAGGCGGAGCGCGTCTTCTGGCGCGGGCCTGACGCGGACTCCAATGCTGGCTGTCAGGCGGCAACGTTCTCCCTCCGCCGCCAACATGGAGGCTGGGCTCGGCCTCCCGCGGAAGACGCTGTGAGGCTGTTGATGGGGAAAGGCCGAAGTCCCACCTGCCCAGATGAAGCCGATGGCTCAGGTCGCGGCCTGGAGGTGAGGGTGGTCGGCCGTGCGTGTCGTCAAGTTCTGGGTGGCAGGAGCAGGGGCGCCTTCTCGCCTCCAGCTGCGGGGAAACTGGAGACACCACTGCGTGTGCAGCAAGGACGCACACGAGTGGGCCAGTGGGAGCCTTCGGCGGCTCCACGGCTGTCTGGGAGATGTAGTCTCTCCGGGCGGGATGCCAGCCTCCTGGTTCCTAATGCAGCAAGTGCTAACTCGGTTGTGGTCCCCTACTCCTCGGTTCAAGGGCTTTTTTCCTCTGGAGGCTTGAGCTTGCGAGTTCGCCAAGACTTCGACAGCGTAGGTCAAGCGCCTGCAGTCCTAAGGCCCCCTCTCGGGCCTCTTCAGTCTCACAGCGCATACGTGTGCACTGTTCAGTTCTTTGTCCATCTCAAGCATCTGTGAAATGTAGTCTGGAGGGACGATCCCTGTCTTCCCCACAGACTTTGGGCGGTGAGCGGGCTTGAGGCTGCCTGTCCAGAGGGTGAGGGAGGGAATAAGTGAATATGTGGATGAATTAATGTTTGGTACTAACAAAATATTTATCCAGCTTAGAGTTAAATTTAGTAAATAGTGTAGGTGCCTTGCCCAGAACATTTAAGAGTAATGTGCTCTAGACAAGGTTGCTGCCTTGAGGCATAACAAAGGATCTGAGTTTCTGCAAATAGGCAAGAGCTGCCCAGCCCCATGTTAATAAGGGCCTGGAGGCCACAGGATAAGCACATTGTTCCTATTATTGTTGCTTGGCCCTGTAAGATGGCTGGATAGTCAATGATGGGTAAGGTTCCTCAAGGAGGAACAACCTAAGACAGGTGGGGGGGGGCAGCCTGGAGGAACTGGGGACAAAAAGTGCCCCCTGTGGCTGCCTTGCTTAACCTTTGCTTATCTCAGCCTGAGACCTATGCTTTGAGCAACTGCCTGGAAACCTTGAGTCAGGGGACATCTGTGTCCTTAGGCTACGTGCTCCAGAATTTATGGCCATTGTTGCAATGCCTGGGTGGTCACGTATAAGGAACTAACTTTGATTTTTGGGGGTATAAAAATAAAACGACTCGTGTGTTCTGCACTGCAGTCTTGTACCATCTTTGTGTGTGTATGTGTCTTTCTTTTTGAGTCTCTTTGTGTTCTGTGTTCATCCACTGTCCTAGAAACAGGCCACAGCAAATTTAATTTAAAATTATGGGAGATCAGGCGACGGCATGAATGGGGGGAAAGAAGGATGGGTGCGTGAGTGTTTTAGAATTCAAGGCCCTGACCAGGTCGGAGCCTTCCTCATGCCCACAGCCGTTCTGTCTTTCCAGCTTAGAGCTCTGTGGGCTATGCAACCTTGTTTCAAGATAGGTGCATGGTCCATGGAGGTACTCATCCTAGGTGTGGTAGCCATCCCATAAACACAGACCTTTTTTTTCCTGATTTCACAAGCACTCCTTTAAAAAATTCTGTTTTGATCATGTGCTACATTAGTATGTTTCAAAATGTTAAGACAGACAAGGTGAGAGGCCTGCCTCCTACGACTGTACTTATTTAATTTATTCACACATATACTCCCAGCAGTTTGGGAGGTGGAGGCAGGAGAATTGCTTGAGGCCAGGAGTTTGAGATGAGCCTGGATGACATAGTGAGACCCCCATCACTACCAAAAATTTTTAAAAATTAGCTGGGCATGGTAGTGGTGTGCACCCATAATTCAAGCTGCTGAGGAGGCTGAGGCAGGAGGATGGCTTGAGCCCAGGAGTTTGAGATTACAGTGAGATATGCAACAGCATTCCAGCCTGGGCAACAGAGCCAGACCCTTTTTCAGAAGTAATAATAATGATTTATTCAACAAGTGATTGTTGGGTGCCTGCTAAGTGTCAGGCACTGTTCCTGGGCCTGGGAACAAAATAGAGAGTTCAGCAGACAAAGCTTCTGCCCATAGGCAGTGTGTGACAGACACACAAATACAGGGGAAGAGGGCCTTTCTGATAAGGTTACATTTGAACAGAGACCTGCAGAAGGTGAGAGAACAAGCCATGCAGAAAACGGGGCAGAGCACCTGCTCTAGGGCAAAGGAACTGCAGGAACCAAAGCTCTGAGTACCCTTGCTCTGCCTAGAGGATGTGGTCGGGAGTAAGGGAAAGAGAGCAGGAGTATTTGAACCCCACAGGGAAGCTGGTGAGGACTGTGGCTTTTACTCAGAGAGAGCTGGGAGGGCTTGGAGGGCTCAAGCAGAGGAGGGACATGATCTGACGAAGGTTTTACTGAATTATTGTTGTGATATGGAGGATTACTGTCCTCTGTCCCTGAGTATTCCACAGTGGTGGCACCAATTAGGTATTTTCTGTGTTAGTTTTCTGTTACTGCTATAACGAATTACTACAAATTTAGTGGCTTAAAACAACATATTTATTATCTTATAGTCCTGGAAGTCAGACTCTGAAATAAGTCTCACTAGGCTAAAGTCAAGGTTACAGCAAGGCTGGTTCCTTCTGGAGGCTCTGGGCTTCAGTGATCGTATTGCCTTCTTCTGAGTCAAATTCTTCTCTGCCTCCTCTTATAAGGACTCTTGTGATTATATTTAGGGGCCACTTGAATAACCCAGGATAATCTCCTCATCTTGAGATTATTAATTTACAAAGTTCTTTTTGTCATGTGAGGTAACTTACTCATAGGTTCCTGTAGTTAGGATGTGGACATCTATAAATACCCTTATTCAGCCTCCCACACTGACATTTTTTTTTTTTTTTTTTTTGAGACAGAGTCTCGCTTGTTGCCCACGCTAGAGTGAGTGCCGTGGCGTCAGCCTGCCACAGCAACCTCAAACTCCTGGGCTCAAGCAATCCTGCTGCCTCAGCCTCCCGAGTAGCTGGACTACAGGCATGCCCACCATGCCCGGCAATTTTTTTATTATATTATTAGTTGGCCAATTAATTTCTTTCTATTTATAGATAGAGACGGGTCTCGCTCTTGCTCAGGCTGGTTTCGAACTCCTGACCTCGAGCAATCCACCCGCCTCAGCCTCCCAGAGTGCTAGGATTACAGGTGTGAGCCACCGCGCCCGGCTCACACTGACATTTGATATCTCTCAGAAGTGTGAAAGTGGGTAGCTTATCGGCCGGGCACGGTGGCTCATGCCTGTCATCCTAGCACTCTGGGAGGCTGAGGCGGGTGGATTGCTCGAGGTCAGGAGTTCGAAACTAGCCTGAGCAAGAGCGAGACCCCATCTCTACTATAAATAGAAAGAAATTAATTGGCCAACTAATATATATAGAAAAAATTAGCTGGGCATAGTGGTGCATGCCTGTAGTCCCAGCTGCTTGGAAGGCTGAGGCAGCAGGATTGCTTGAGCCCAGGAGTTTGAGGTTGCTGTGAGCTAGGCTGATGCCATGGCACTCACTCTAGCCTGGGCAACAAAGCGAGACTCTGTCTAAAAAAAAAAAAAAAAAAAAAAAAAAAGTGGGTAGCTTATCAACTCATCTGTGTCTGGGAGGTGGGTCAGGGTCTTGAGCCTCTTGGCTTCCCCTTGTTGATTTCAAGAGGTTCCTATAGCCCCCATCGCTGGAAGAGGAGTGCAAAATACCCCAGTAGACCTCTCTTTTGATCTCATAAGCCAGACTGAGTGACATAGTCCCCCAGATACAATGAAGGCTGGGAAGTATACAGTGTTTTTGTTGGCACAGAGAGATGAAGCAGGGCTGAGTGCTCTGTGTCAGAGCATGGGAAGCCAGGCATGTGCTTACACATTAATGTTTATGTGTCTTCCTCTTACAGGTAGAGGCAGGCGTGGCAGGAGAAGGCAAGAGACTGCTATTGTGGGCATAGCGGTAGCTGCCAGGACTGGGCAGAGGGAAGAGAGCTTATTGAGTGGCATGGCTCAGGGAGGCAGAATGAAGATAGTCCCCCACCCACAGGTGCCAAGGAAGGCACCCCTAGGTGAGATTGGCCTCCACTGAAGTGCCAAGTGGGACCGGAAATCCATCACCCTGCATGTGAAGCTAGAGGTGCTTGCAGAGGTTCAAAGAGGGTGAGAAGCTGACACAGATCACCCGGGCCCTGGGCCTGGCCACCTCCACTGTTGCCTCAATCTGTGTCAACAAGGACAAGATCCAAGTCAATTCCCAGGTGGCCACTCCGGTCAGCACCACACAGCTGACTTGCTGTCGAGGCGTGGTGATGGGCCGCATGGAGCGCCTGTTGAACCTGTGGATCGAGGAGCAGAAGCAGCGGAACCTGCCTGTCGGCACACTGCTAATCCAGGACAGAGCACACCAGCTCCATGCACGGCTGCAGTGAGAACAGGGTGATTGTGCCCGGGCTGAGACCTTTGGTGTCAGCAATGGCTGGTTTGCCTGCTTCAAAGCACACCACAATTTGCTGCTGACAGATGAGCCGGCCATAGCCGACACCCAGGCTGCTGCCTGATACCGCCTGGTGTTTTGCACCGTCCTGGAGGAGCGCTGCTACTCACCACAGCAAGGCTTCAATGTGGATGAGATGGGCCTATTCTGGAAGTGGCTGCCTGAGCGCACAATGCTGGCACTGGAGGTGGTGGCCAGGCTTGGGCCTGGGCCCAAGGCCTCTAAGGACCATCTGACCCTGTTGCTTGGTGGCAGTGCAGCTGGTGACTTCAAGCTAAAGCCACTGCTGGTGTACCCCTCTGAGAATCCTCGTGCCCTCAAAGGCTGCTCCAAGCCCAGCCTGCTCCTAGCATGTTTCAGGAGTGGTTCATCAGCTGCTTCTGCCCTGCTGTGGAGAGCTATTGTGCCTGCCATGGCCTCCCACATCGCACCCTGCTAATCTTAGATGGTGCACCCTGCCACTATACGCAGCTGGGTGGCCTCTTGGCCCATGTGCATGTTGAGTTCTTGTCCAAGAACACCTCATCCCTGATCCAGCCCATGAACCAGGGTGTATGGCTGCCTTCAAGGCCCACTACCTGTGCTGCACACTTAGCCAGCTGGTCCAAGAGATGGCTGGTGATGACAGGCCCTCTGTGTGAGAATTCTGGTGCGGCTACACTGTGATGACCGCCATGGACAACACTGCAGAGGCCTGGGCTAAACTGCAGCCTGCTACCATGAACAGTGCCTGGAGGAGGCTCTGGCCTGAGTGTGTGCCTGCAGGTTCCCTGGAGCCTAATGAGGTGTCCCAGCTCCACTAGCAGCTGGCACTAGCCAGCAATGTGGGTCTTGGGGATGTACCTGAAGCCGAAGTTGCTCACCTGCTGCAGGCCCATGGAAATCCCTCACCCTGCCATGTCTCCCAGGACACAGAGGATGGGGCTGCCAGCAGCTCTGGGCAATCCTGGGCAGTAGCAAAAGGCCTGGCCTCCAAGAGAGCAAAGCCAGAGTTCATGGAGACCACAGAGGGTATGGGGACTGAGGAAGCCAGTGAGGGGTTGCTGAGCCATGAGTACCTGGCTCAGGCCCTATCCCACTTTGCTGCTGGCCTCTGAGTCCTTGTAGAAAATGACCCCAACTGGGAGCGCAGTCTGTGGGTGTCCCGGGGTATCCACAGTGCCCTCACCCACCTCCAGAAGCTGCACCGAGACAGGAGGTAGCAGGCTCAGGCGATAATATCCGTAGAAAGCCCTGCGGCAGTGGTGACAAGGGAGTTGGCAGGAAGCCTGCATTCACCCCAAGAAGGTTCTACAGAGGGTAGGCGAGTGGCCCAGGGCACAGGTCTGAAAGGAGAGACTTCTGCAGCTGTTCTGCATGATTTTGGCCTTGGGCCTGACCTCAGATGAACTCTGCCTGGTGGTGTTTTGTTTCTGGAGGGCAGACACTGCCTCTTTCCCCCATGGTTCTCATGTCTCCTGTCCTGTGTTTCTGCAGTGACTTAACACATAGGGCTAGGCTTGGGGAATGGAAAGGCAGTGCTTCCTGATCAGTCGGTGAGCTGCAGGGCTCAGGAGTACTCACCCAAGATGAAGATGCAGCATTACCCGGGGCAGCCTTCCTTGAGGGGTGTGAGGTAAGGGGCTAATCACAAGTGTCACAATGGAGCAGGGAGAGATCACTCCCTGCTCCATTGTGACACTAACCAGCAAACTTTAGATGGAGGTTTCCTGTGCTCGGCATATCCCTGCTCACTTTCCACACCATCCTGCCAACTCTGGTTTCCATGCTTCTGTTGTCTGAGGTCTTTGGGCACCAATGGGCATGTGTTGAACCCTGGCCTCACCCCACTGTGGCCTTTGATACCAGGGACCATTTCCTTGATTTGGTGATGTTTTGTTTTCTGGGCTTATGTGACATGTCTGTCTTGGTTTCTCTCTGCTGTCTGCAGCAGAGCCTTTTGTGATTTTTTTTTTTTTTTTTTTTTTTTTTGTGAGACACAATCTTGCTCTGTGGCCCAGGCCTAGATGCCCATGGCTCAGCCTACTCTCAAACAGCAAACCTCAAACTCCCTGGGTTAAGTTGATCTCTGCCTCCAGGCCCTCTGAATAGCTGGGACTACAGGTGCACGCCATGATGCCCAGCTAATTTTTCTATTTTTAGTACACATGGGGTATTGCTCTTGAGCTCAAGTGATCCTCCCACTTGGCCTCCCAGAGTGCTAGGATTGTAGGTATGAGCCGCCACACATGGCCTTTTTGTGATACTAATGGTCTCCTGGGTCTAATACTCCATGGAAAATCCCATTCCAAGGATTCAATTGCCACCTCAGGGTCAGCTCCTCGTGTACTGGCCACAGTCCCACCTCTTCCCAAGGTCTAGATGCAGAGATCTGGCTCCAATGAATGGGCCCCCTGGACAGTCTGGACATTTCCTCTCATTCCAGCTTGTTCTTTTGCCCCCAAACTGTAACAACAGGAACCCTGGGGTATATGCTAGACTCAACAGAGACACCAGACAGGCCAGGTGTGGTGGCTCACGCCTGTAATCCTAGCACTCTGGAGGCCGAGGCGGGCAGATTGCTCGAGGTCAGGAGTTCAAAACCAGCCTGAGCAAGAGCGAGACCCCGTCTCTACTATAAAAATAGAAATTAATTGGCCAACTAATATATATCTATATATATAATTAGCTGGGCATGGGCCACCATGTAGTTCCAGCTACTTGGGAGGCTGAGGCAGCAGGATCACTTGAGCCCAGGAGTTTGAGGTTGCTGTGAGCTAGGCTGACGCCATGGCATTCACTGTAGCCTGGGCAACAAAGTGAGACTCTGTCTCAAAAAAAAAAAAAAAGTGAGACATCAGACGGACCACCAAAACACAGATATTCAGTGAGGGAAGATGTTTGTGTTCCAGCTGGATGAGCCACAGGGGTTTAGACAGTGAAGTCTGGCTTAAAGGACTTTTTTCAACACAGGTACCTGCACATGTATGTCTGTGAGCCAAGAAATAAAGGCAGGAGAAAGGATTCCTGCCACTACTATCTTGGCTAACCCCACAGTGCAGTGATGGGCCTGCTATCAACATGTCACAGGGACTGGTGGTCAGGAAAGGGTTAGGGGGCCCAGACTTACTGGGGGAAAGGTCAGATGAGGCTTCTCCATTGCTCTCCTGGAAAAGGGGATGTAGAAGAAGGGGAGCAGCTTTCCTTAGGACCCTGGTGACTGGATTAATTCATTGCACAAATTTTGAGCACTTGTAATGTGCTAGGTCTGGGGAGACCAAGGGTGAATGAGACTGGCTTCAGGAGCTGCCAGACCAGAAGTTGTTACAGTCTTTGTGACAAGGGTTATGATGAGGACTTAGGAGGGACTCCATTTAGCCTGGGGCAGAGGACAGGACATGATAGACTTTCTTGAGGTGGTGTCCAGCCTTCCAGGACACTTCCGACAATCAACCGGAAACCTCGCTTATTTCAAAATGTCAGGAGTCAGAGAGGAGCTTGAGGGCAGCCAGTGTGGAAGAGAGGAGTGGCCCCAGTATTGGCGGAGGCCACCCACTGGAGTGAGCGAGGTACAGTACATGAAGGAGGAAGGTGACCAGGCGGGCACTGTTAAGGCCAAATCCAAGTGGGTGGGGAGGAGGGAGCCAGCTAAGTCCCAAACGGTTGGGGAGGGAGGGACAACGAGCAGCTACTGTGTACAGCCGCTGTGTGCTAGCATAGGGTGAGGAAGCGACAGGACTCGAGGTCATGCCGGCAGTGCATGGTGACGACACACGCATGGGCCTGTGGCTCCAGGGCTCTTTCGAGGTCAGTCACTGGCCCTTGAGAAATGCGTGGTGGGATGCCCTGGATTCACTCAACCAGCCTCCTGTCGCAAACCCCTTAAGAGCTACATCTCTGAGCAGCCGGGCCGCGACTCCAGCTCCGGGCGCAGGACCCACTGTCTCCTGGGAAGCGTAGTATCGAACCCTGCGGGCAAGGCCTCCCGCACCAACCGGAACTACATTTCCCAGGGGCCTTGCGCAGAGACTGTCCAGGGCGCCTTCCACTCCCGCGCTAGCGTTACATTCTGTTGCTGTGGAAACAGGCACCTGGCTCCGTCCCCCGCCCCAAATATTGGATGGGGGTGCGGGTGGCGCATGAGAGGCTGGAGTCTCGAGAGCAAGGTGCCGAAGGTAGCTGGCAAGGTGGCCGCAAGCTCCGGGTCCTCTGGTGGTCGGCCGTCGTTCCCGCGCGGTGCAAACCGTTCACGTAGGTCCGGAGGTCACGTAGGACGGTGAGTCTGGACGCAGGGCGGCCAGAGGCATCTAGAAGGCCGGGGATAGGGTGCGCCGCTCGTCTTCTCAGGAGTCCTGGCGAGTCCGTGGGAAAAGGCGGCAAGGGGGGCTGCTGGGACGTGGAGTCCAGCGGAGGCGGGGCTTGCCCCGGAAGCGATTCCGCCTTTAGTTCGGCTCTCAGGACCTTGCTCCAGAATGGGTGTAGGGTCTGATGTGCAGATTTGACAAGCTAGTGGCCTGGAGAGACCAGCTAGGTTTGGGCTCCTCCTAGACC